CCCTTTTCATCACAAATAACCTACTTTTAATGTGTAGTTGCGTTACTGGGATATTGAAGGAATGTTATTTATCTACAGAGTCTGCCAAATTACTTAAATTGCTTAATGACTTTTGGTTCACCTAATACTTTTCTTATTGATTCATAAAGCATAGAGATTTTAATCCTATATTTTAGCCAGAAAATGTTAGAGCCATTGGCATTTTAAGATTCTTTAGCATACCCAACTAGAATTAAAACCTAACACGCTAGATGTCTAATTAGTCAAGAAGTATTTGAATGATGTTTGTAGACTGGTGCTATCCAAAGTCCCATTTACAAAGCCTACGGTGTCATATAATTCTTCCCTACTGGATTGGGTCTCCAGGGCCAACCCTGTTTCTTCTCCCTACAGCAATTCCTGGCTACACAGTTGATTATGCAAACGTCTGAGTCTGGGATCAGTGCTAAAAGTCTTCGAGGGAGAGATTCTACACGTAAACAGGATTCTTCAGAGAAGGTGAGGAGGCCAAAAAGAGCCAGTGTGCCAGTGTGCCAGTGCTAAAAGTCTGAAGAATCTAAGGAACCTTAAGTTTCTTCTTGGTATTGCTGGGTTTCTACATTCCAGTGGTGAACGGACATAAATCTTAGAATGGTGGTTGTTTGCTCTCATCCAAACACTGAACGAAAACTGCTGTGACTGGAAGGCCCAGTCACATGGGGAGATTGTGAGCTGAGTGAGTGAATTAAAAATTCCTCTGGGAGAGTGCTCATGAGGTGGGGAAATGACTTATCCAGAAGCATTTGGGGACCATCAGTTCCTGTTCCAGAGGCATAATGGCCAGACTGCTTTTGTATCTCTTTCCTCTTGTTCTTAAGTTTTTAAATTTTGTCTTTGTGTGTGTGGTGCTTGTGTCTCTGTCCTGAGGTTTGGGGTGCTTGGAGCTGAGAGTTTCCATGGAACCTGATCAGTGTTTGTTTGTCCTCTAACAGGACAGTGTCCCCATGGGCTCCCCTGCCTTCCTTCTCTCTCTCTTTGTAAGTATTGAATGGCTGCAAGGGATGGTGTTGCCACAAAGATTCTTAGCTCCTGCTGGGGGTGGGTGGCAGAGGGAAATTCAATGTGCAGACTGTGGCAATGTCTTGAACTTCTCTTTATTCAGGTCATTGAATAAGAAACTGTCTCTTCTTCTGCATTCCTGTCTTTCTGCATGTGTGTGTGTGTGGGCTGGGTAGGGACTGTTTATGAGTTCACTGGGCTGAAATGAGATACTCTTGTTAAGGATCTACGATGCACGGCTCCTCATTTCTTGACTGCAGCTTCTGCCAACTCCTTTCTTAGAGAATTGCTCAGAGCGGCAGTTGCTAGCTGGCTTCTTAAAAATGTTCCTCATACTGGCAGATACTCAGAAAAGTTTTTTTCTTTTCTGCTAATATTAAGTTGCAGGATGATGGCCGAGACGCAAACACTCAGTGAAATTTAAGGATCCTAGTAACAATGACCACTGCACATAGTAGTGGCTGGTGCAATCAGAGACAAACTACCAAGCCTAGCCTAAAGAATTTTATTGTTTTCCTCTGTGAATTACATGACCCTCTGACTGTGTGGCGTTCATTATGGGGCACTGAGGCATGATGTACTGGAAAGGCATCAGGGCTATAAAACCACATGACCTTAAGTTCACTGGATTATCTCTTGTAACCTTGTTACCCTCATCTGTGTAAATGGAGCTAATGTGAGATATCTGTCCAGCCTACCTCACAGGGATGTTGTGAGGATAAAAATAATAGGTATCTGAAACTGGCTTGAAAAAAAGATGAAACTGTTATACAAATGCAAGGTGGTATTTTTATTTTTACTGTTGCCTCAAAGGCAATTTGTGTTCTTGAGCTCTAAACACTGTAGAGTCCTTGCATGTGAGAGATGTAAAAATGGCCTGGCCCAGCAAAAGTGTTCACTAGTTCATCTTGCCCACAGGCCTCAGCCTGTATCACAGACAGAACACTGTAATCTCCGTTCTTCCTTACTGGCTGCAACAGTGACTGGATCCCCAAAGCATTTGGCTGGCTGTTGCAAGGCTGGTTAATAGGATCTTTTATCTATTGAAGACAGCAGAGTATTGCACAAGAGGAAGGAGCTGGGCTGCAGGGAGAGAGCAGCAGATGGAAAGACGCCTTCTGATTGTCCTGATCTCATGGAAAACAACTGTCAGGAGGTGCTAGGGAACTAGTGCCAGGGTCAGTCTGCAGGAAAGGCCTTTCTTATAGGGACCAACAGCTGGACAGGTATGTTAGCCAAGAATCTCACTATCCACTGCCCTTTCTGACTCTCCCACCTTTCTTTTACTCTTCCTGTTCCTTTGCACATGATTTGGGGCCTGGGTGGGATGACTAATAGTCATTCTGCGGGACCCCAGGTGAACTCCAGTGATCTCTGTGGTGGGCAAGAGCAAAGTACTCTGTGCTACATTTCCTCGCACGAACTACCACCAGGTGCCTTTTAGCCCACTCTGGGGGAAGACCAGTAATATACTCCTCATCTCCTGGATTTTTCTGCTGATTCTCTCCCCACTCCCCCAAGAAACCAAATCCCCAGCATTGTTGCACCTTCTGACCAACTCACTCAAGCACCCTCTCTTTGTCTGCCTGTCATCTAGGATGGGGGCACCAGGGGGCGCCGCTGTGCCATTGAAGCGGATATGAAGATGAAAAAGTGAAGCCTTAGAGTACCCTCACTGAGCTGAACCTGAAACACAAGGAAAGACGATAGAGCTTGGGCTTGTGGGCCCAGGTCCCGGAGTGGAAGTCACGGAAGAGGAGGCACCTGGGCCATGTCACACGAGTGGGAAAATCTCTCTCAAGAGAGTTGGAGGAGTATCATTGCCTGTTTAAGGGCAAAAATCATGGGCTCTGTTAATGTCCTAATGTGTAGCTGGCAAATTGTAGCTAGTTTGTACTGTCTTGTGAAGTGTACAGTTTTTAAAAAAGAAAAATTTGTGAAGTGTGTGTACACAATAAACTGAAAAAACTCTAGCCTATGGTGTGTTCCTTGTATGTTTGTGTGTGAGAAACATAACGATTTCTTCATGATAACTTTATTGGTGGGAATAAGAATGTTAGAGGGGGAAAGTCGTCTTATAAAATGAACTGTTCAGCTACAGCTCAAAAGCCAAGTAACTTGAAATTATAATTAATGTTTTAAAGTGTTGCATTGTGCATTAAGGACTGTCTTGCTCAGCTTAGTTAAATGTTTGGGAAAACAATGTTTTCAGAGTTCTGTTCATGGCATTGCTTAAAGAAGGTGAAAGCATAAACACAGGTAGCACCGACCTTTAACCCAGGCTTTTGTCCTACTTAATAATATCTTGGTACAAATACTATTGCAAGTGGTATTTCTAGGACAGTGCGTTACTATTTTCCTTCCTATTCTATGTGTAGGGTACTTACGTACTTGAGAGTTCATAACATTGCTATTTGAAGGCTAAATTCAGTTTGAGTTTCAAATTTGTTACCTGATTTTATTCTAATATTTGTTATTAAAGAATTAGTGAAATGAACTAGTTATGAGTCTTTTAAAATAGAGAGATGGAAGTTAATAGCTATTTGAGCCTTGACAAAGATGGTTTTAAGAAAGATGGTAATTCCTAGGTCTTTTGGGCTTAAATTATAAAGGTTGTTAGACTGCTAAGGAAGTAGAAGATACAGTCTTTGTGAGTGATGAATTCAAACAAGGATTTAGGAATTAAGTACAGTATATTTCAAAGCAATCCACAAACATGCATGTAATACAAGCAATGAAGCCTAAAAGTGGAGGAGTCTGGGAGAGGTCCGTTAAAGGACATAGATTCTGGGTTGGTAAAAAAAAAATGCTTAGCAAGTCAAATTGAAGGCGTAGGGGTGGGGGTAATAAGGTGACAATGAGAATGGGGATCATACTAAGGCCTAGTGAAGTATAGGTACCAGGCCAAGGAGACAAATAAGGCTCAAGACCGAGTGGCAGATGAGGAAATTTATAATTTAGGAGATAGTGTAAAGCGTTGAATAGGGAGACTCTTTGTTCAGAGTAGATTGGATTAAAGAGAGAAACTGACCAGGAGACTATGGCATTTATTCAGGAACAAAGAATGGGCATTGAGAAACATTGTGGAAGAAAAATGTCAAGTTCATGCTTACTGAATCTAAGGAGGAAGAGTCCAAACAGGGTTAAGAAAATAGTGTAGATCATGGGGATAAGGAGCTGGAGGGTGCAAGTGATTTTGGAGATACTTAAGAAAGTATTAGTTTTAGAAATTTTGAGTTGAAGCAGATGATAGGGTACCTGAAGGGAATTGACCTTTGGGCAGGCATATGGAGAAATGGGACCAGAATGCATGTAAGGAAAGGTGAAGAGAGTTGGGAGCCACCTGACTTCAAAGTTGAAACCTCAAAGCATACCCATTTTTTAAAAGAAATACTAAAGCAGAGGCCAAGTGAGAATATAAAAGACAAGGGTTATTGAAAGTTGCAAAAGGGAGAGGATAAAGGGACAAGAACAGGGTAGTGTGATGAAAGCAAAGCAAGATCTTTTTTAAATTTGGTATTGCAGTTATTCTGAGAAGCGGGAGCTAAATATGACCCGAGGGGAGCCTCAGGTAATCTTAAGGTGTGTTTTGAAGGTAGAATGGTTGATAGGTTAAAAATGTCTATATGCCGCAAAAAACATCCCTCGGCCCTCAAATTTATTGTCTTGCAATTGAGATTAAGGGTGATTTGGAACGAGTTCTGTTCAGCTAGCTGCGCTCCACTTCCTTCTTTTGGAGTATGAGGAAATCCAAGAAAGTTACTGCATAATCTCTCTGTTACATTGACAGTGGGGCTTTTTCATTTTATTCTGAGTAGAGATGATTTCATTTCCTTCAGCTAGCTTTCACTCTTCCTGAGATGGGTAGAAAGAAATTTCTGGCCCCTTACCTTTTTCTACCAAACTTGGGGATGGATTTTAGGAATATCGACTGAATTTAATGCATTTTTTTTTCTGTGTATTTACAGATGGGGCCTGAGTGGGCTTGGTCGGACTCTGAAGAAGAACATCCCACTGACTCTGAGTTGAGCCACGACTGCAGGTCGCTCTTCAGCTCATGGGACTCCAGTCTGGACCTTGATGTGGGCGGCTGGAGGGAAACTGAGGCGCCAGGGTCTGAGGAACTAGAGGAAAGCAGCCCAGGGGAAGAACGTAGTGAGCTGCTTGTGGGGGACGGAGGCAGTGAGGACTCTCAGGACGAGGCAGAGCAAGTCAGTCGCCAGAACTTCCTCCACTTTCTGTCTGAGGTAATGGGGAACCATTATTTCCAAAGTGGGAAGAGTCCCAACTTTTTCTAGGACAACGCTTACCGTACACATTTCTACCACTCTTTAATACTGTTTACTAAGACATAAACTCCATAGTGGAGGGACTGAGTTCATTGCTGTATCTCCAGCATTTGGTGCTGATACAAAAGCTCCAAATACGCAGTTTTTGACTGAATGTTCTAAGATCGCAGTCATTAGGAGCTAGTCACAGGCAGTGGAATTTCTGTGTGCACGTGGGGTGCATTATGAGTATCCTTGCAGTTTATTCTTTCAGAGTCATAATGCCCAAACTCCTTGATGCTGGTCGTGTTAAGGCTTTAAGGCAGTATTTTACTGTGTCCTTATTACCTTGGTTAAGGGCTGAGGACGAGACATACACAGAACTGGACGGAGAATTTATGTTTATGTGGCAACTTCACATATTCAGGTCAAAGTCAGCAAAAATCCAGTTCATATGTTGGCAAGTCTGTCGGCATTGTGTATGGCAGACAAAATTTTCAGCAGTGTTCTAGAGAGCCACTCCCAGTTGATGAGAATTGACACTTGAGATGAAAAATTAGAACATAAGCTCCTTGAAAAGGCAAGAACCATTATCTGTCTTGTTTACTGTCGGGTCCCTAGCAACTAGTCCCTTGCGTGTGTATGTAAGATATTTGGTAAGTTTTAAATGGTTGAATGAATGAGTGTACTTGTCATCTCAGATTTAGTCACAGTGGCAGTGTAACCATGTGGCCTTATTGATAGTGTAGATGATGATTTCCATTGGTGTTCCTATGTATCTAAGAGTAAACTACAATTGCAGGTAGCTTACTTAATGGAGCCATTGTGCATTGGCAGCAGAGAATCAAGTGAGAGCTCCTGCCCTTCATCCGGTAGAAGACCACAGGAGGGAAGGGAAGTTGAAACTACTGAAGGAGAAGGGGAGCCCTGCAAAGAGCCCGAAGAGCGATCAGCCGAGGCAGAGCCCTTGGTAGTTGAGGCGTCACTGGGAGAAGATGGAAGGCCAGAGGTGGGTCCAGTTCCCTCAGGTATTTGTACAGCTCCGGGACTCACAGAGAGAGAAGAGGTGAGTGAATGACTTAAACCAGCTGTCTGATCCTCTGCACGGGCAGGCAGAGCGGAGTGGTCAGAGCACAAGGCTGGCTCTAGAGCTCTGCAACCCAGGTCCAAATCCTGGCTTTAGTACCATTTAGCTGTGTGACCTTAGGCATGTCAGTGGATATTTTAGCACCTAATTTTTTTTCTGCTGTAAATGGAATAATAGTGCTTTCCCTTATAGTTTTGTTGTGACATTTAAATGAGACAATTCATGTAAAGCACTTACCTTAGTACCTGGCCCATAGTAATCAATTGGTAAAATTTAGAATGCCATTATCAGTATTACCTGACTGGATAGACTAGTAGACTCCAGGGCCACAAGTGATAATGACAGTTTGCAAAGAATTCAGCATTCATCTAGAATTGGGTATGTTGCTGTCTTGCCATGGGTTTCAGCCCCAGGCAAGTTCACTATGGATTCATTGTGACCAAAGAAATGACAGTTGGATGTTCTTGGGGTGAAGGGGTTATACCCAACTTTATTTCCATGGTGGCAGGTCAGTTACTAGAATCCCATTCACTCAGAACGAGTCTGCATGCAGTAAGCCGGTCTCTGCCTCTGGGCCCCTCTGCCCTGCAGCTGTCCCAGTCTCTGTCCTCGGCACTGCCACCACTCCAGCCTCATCTCTGCTTTCCTGCAGCCTTGCAGCCGTGACACCATGTCGCCCAGAGCACTGGGCAGGGCTCTTTATATAGAGTCAATAACAATGCATTGCCCACATGTGTGTAATGAGCTAGCCAACCAGGGCCAGGTGAGAATCCTGGCCACAGGAACCTTCATTTTATCCACAGTTGCTTTTGATTTTTTCTTGGGGTACAAAATTCTCCAGCCAAATTGTTACCAAGAATTCATTGGCTTAGGTCTAATTAAGTCACCTTTTTCTAATTTCTCTTATAGCTTTCTGTGGTTGGCCTCTTCTCATCTTAAGGTCAGCCTTCACTTTCCCCATGCAAGTAAACTTACATTGCAGGTAGTAAATCTCTTTTTAAAGTGTCCTTTGTTTCCTGACATTCCCAGGGGGAGGTTGAGCAAGAATGCAAAGAGGAGGACCGGGGCGAAGGGCACGTGTCGGAGATGGAAGACTGGCCCTCCCCGGGGGAGTGCGATGAAGCCCTCAGCGCGCAGGGGATACCCCTGCTGGGCATCCTTCTCAGCTGTGCTGCCTCCTCAGCGTTGTGAGTATAGACTTTTGTCTAAGGCTGCTAAGATGCAGAAGATTTAACCTTTTGTTTATGGCTATTTGAATTGTTACTATGGACATAGATGACTTTTATAAATTAAAAAAGGGAATTAGAGTGGGGAAACTCAAGAAATAGAATTAAATATAATTTTATCATATAAGCAAGTCAAAAAGTCTGTTTCATTACCACTAAGAATCTCTTTCCTAAATAATCCTCTCTAATTACTCTTTTCAGGAAACATTGGTGAGTCAGATTGTCCTTCAAGTCTCATATTATACAAACTGTACTTTTTTAATATATTGAAATGTAGTTGACATACAATCTTACTTTAGTTTCAAGTATGCAAAACAATGGTTCAACAGTTAACCACACTATTAAATCCTTACCGAACTAGTGCAGTTACTGTTGTCAACATAGGAAGATGTTACAGAATTATTGGCTGTATTCTCCATGCTGTACCACTATCCCTGTGATCAGCTATATTATGATTGAGAATTTTTGTGCCCCCTTTCCCCTCACCCTCCCAACCCACTCACCCCAACCCCTCCCCCATGGTAACCACCAGTCACTTCTCAGTGTCTGTGAGTCTACTGCTATTTTGTTCATTTTATTTTGTTTTTAGATTCCACAAATAAATGACTCATATGCTATTTGTCTTTGTCCACCTGGCTTATTTCACTTAGCATAATACCCTCTTAGGTCCATCCATGTTGTCGTAAATAGCAGGATTTCTTTCTTTTATAAGCTGCATAATATTCCATTGTACCACCTCTTTATCCATTCGTCTATTGATGGACACTTTGGTTGCTTCCGTATCTTGGCTATTGTAAATAATGTGGCAATAAACATACGGGTTTACATGTCTTTTCGAATCAGGGATTTTGTTTTCTTTGGGTAAATTCCTCGAAGTAGAATTACTGGAACATACGGTATTTCTATTTTTAGTTTTTTGAGCACCCTCCTTAGTGGTCCATATGCTTTCCATAGTGGCCGCACAAACTTACATTCCCACCAGCAGTGTAGGAAGGTTCCGTTTTTTCTCCACATCCTTGCCAGCATTTGTTATTTCTTGCCTTTTAGATAGTGGCCATTCTAACCAGTGCAAGGTGATGTCTCATTGCGGCTTTGATTTGTATTTCCCTGATGATTAGTGACGTGGAGCATCTTTTCACCTGCCTGTTGGCCATCTGCAAACTGTACTTCATTTAAAAATACTAAAACATCTCCTGTTGACTTGAAATTAAACATTATTTTGAAGTTATGATCTCCCTGGTTCCTTTTCACAAATCTTGAGAAATTGTAGAATTTCTCATCTTTTTTTAAAATTAAGGTATCATTGATATAAGTCTTACGAAGGTTTCACATGAGCAACATTGTGGTTACTACATTCACCCAAATTATAAAAATTTTTCATCTTTTTATAAATAATTATGAGGTTAAAGGGAATATTTTCAAATCTTAATTTTTTTTAGTAAAGTGGATCTCTTTTTAAATCAGAAAAACAAAGTTGTTTTAGTTATGGTACCAGAAGTTCCTTTTCTGGGCCTGGTCTTGTATCTATTGAGAGACGATAGCATGACCTGGTTATTTCTCTTCATTGCATCCCAGATCCACCCACATCATCTGTAGGAAGGCAAAACAATAATTATTCTAGCCTTTTTTTGTTTAAGGTATACAACTGAACCATGCATGTATATGTTTTTAAATACAGATTTAAAAATGTCCTTACTCAGTAGAGTTTAGCTTAAGACCTAGATCACTGAACAGTCGCTTCCTTTGCTTTTCTGTACTTCTGTGTATATATGAACAGATGGCATATGATGACCATCCAAAGAAACAGGCTGTCTCTAATAAAGATACTTTATCTCATGACATTTCAGTAATTTGATGGTAAACTCCACACTCTTATCTTAGGATTTAGGTAAAATGTGAAGTCTTTATTGGAAAGCAATAGATACTATAATTGAGTCTGCATGGCCAGATAGTTTAAGGGGCAGTAAGTTTAAGCTGAGTTCTTGTGTTATCATCAGGGAAGCTTAAAACTACCTTGAAAGGTAGACATTCTCCAGGCTCCTCTGTGTGGCTTTTCCCTTCAGTTAGTCTCCCTTCCCCTACAGTTAGTCTGTACTAACTCTCAGGAATGAATAAAGACGTAGAATGTTTGGAACACCACTCTCAGTCCACAGGTCCTTTTCACTCCCACACTTTCACTTATCATTGCTTGGCGTGCTGTTCCAAATAAGTGGAAATCAAGGTAAGTAAGGGATCGTTTCTTAAAATATTGCAAAGGTGATTGATTATGAGATTACAGAATCTAACACAGTACCTTTCAGATAATGGAAACTTACTTTAAGTATCTGTTGTGTAGATACATTAGTATAATTGCACCAGTACCAAGGAACTATTGCTCATTCTGTTGACTGATGAGAAACAAAGAGTTCTGTTTTGGGCTTTAACTGCCTTGTTCTTAAAGGGTTCTGAGCTTTAAGTTGATTTGGGTAAGTTGATTTTTGTGGTATGTAATTTAGATACAGGTAAGATATTGCATCATGAAAATGAATAGTTACATGGAGCTGCTCAAATTAGAGAAAGACATAATGAGATGTCATCAAATGGATACATACAATATGGTACATAAAGTAAAATGAGGGTGTGAAACCTCAGAGAAACCATGTAGAGAGAACAATGCAGTGTATAAAGTGGGAAGTATAACATGATGTTTTAACTTTGGAGAAAGTAGAAAATGTGCCAACTGGGAAGATTATAAAGTGAAAATATTGAACAGCTGTACCTCCGAAGAGGAACTAAGTAGGTGAGACAGTTTAGCCCAGAGAAGGAGGAGCCATGAAGAGAAATGAGATTTTCTTTGGTATTTTGAAGATAACTGTATGAAGGAGAGTGAAAAAGAAAAATATTTAAATTGCATAGCATTCAGATGAGCCGTAAGATAATTCCTTGGGATATGAAATCCAAGTATTTTCTTCTCTGGAATTATGGAAGATATACTTATTAATGTGGCATATTTCTGCATAAAAACAAGACCAGATTTATTTATCAGATACTTAACTGAGCACCTATAATGTGCCCGCCACTTGGAAAACATCACTGAGCAAGGACTACTTTCACAGACCAGCTCTTTAGAGTCACATATGCTAAAGAACAAATCAGCAAGAGTCCAAAAGGCACAGGCAATTGTAGACTTGTGTACCTTACAAGATGGTAACCACTTCATTGGGTAATAGTGATCCATAAGAAAATATTTATAGAGTTTGGGGTCCCTTATAGAAGCATTATATATGTTTTTATTCCTATGGTGTTACTTCCTTCAGATGTTAACTAGGGAGCGCTGTATGTTGAGAAAACTCTATTTCCCACCATTTGTGGGAAGCTACTGTTTGTTTCCTGTTCTGTTCTATCCCAAAGGTCTGATCTAGGCCAGAGTGACCCTGTTCAGGATCACTTGCTATTCAAGAAGACTCTCCTGCCAGTCTGGAAGATGATTGCCAGTCACCGGTAGGTCTCCAAGCCACTCTCAGTTCTCACAGTTACTCTTTTTTGTTTAGAGTAACTTCTCAGGGTTTCTTCATCCCCTCTGGATTTGTGCCTTAATAGGTTCAGCAGTCCATTTCTGAAGCCTGTATCAGAAAGGCAGGCCCCAGGATACAAGGATGTGGTGAAAAGGTCAGTGGAAAAGGGGTCAAGAAAGGTTGGTTGCTTTTATGTCTGCCTTTCATACTATTATTTGATTAGACTATTTCATTTATATTACTTATAAACTCAAGATATATTTTACAGGCTGAAAAAGTTTTTAAAGTTATGGGAAGCTCAGTCTTAATTTGAGAAGGGATGCAGGGAATAAAAGGATAATACAGGCTTTTATTCAGTATTTTTAAGTAATATGATCCATTCATTACAATGTTATATTAGCCTTTAGTAGTTTTTGACATTGGTCTTTTGAAGCAAAACTTTAAAAGGAATATTGTATTCATTTCAGGCAGTTACAGGTGTGCTAAGGCAAAGATGATAAATCCAAGTGGATGTAACAAACATTGGTTGCAGTGTTTTGGTATTTTAGAGCATCGTTCATCTAAAATGCTGTCATACACCAGTATTGGTTAGTAGAGTATAAAAGATCAGGAGAGGACCTTTGGAGACAGACTCTTTCGTTCTGTAGATGATAAAATTAAGGCTTAAAGGTGGTCATGACTTGTCTCTGATCAAGAGTGAGTAGCAGAGCTAGAAATAAACCCCAGATTTTTACCTTTCAGTTGAATCCTCTGTCTGCAGTGCTGGTGCCTTCTCTTAAATACCCACTCTCTGTGTTTCATTAAATTATTGTTTTTCATTCACTTGATTCTCATGCTTTTCATCACTCTTTAATCATAAAAGGAGAAAAAAGTTCTATGCAATAGGCAAAGAAGATTAAGTCAATAACTACCATGTGACAAACTGATCATTGGAGTTCTCCACAACTTTGGTACCTGGGGCCAGCACTCCTACAGTAGCAGAGTGTGGTGGCTGGGCCTGTGGGCTCTTGAGTCAGGCTGCCTCTGGATTGGAATCCAAGCTGTGTATTGGGCCAGTACTTAATCTCTTTAGATCTCAGTTTCCTCCCTGCCAACTGGTGATAATAAGGTATCTATCTACCTTGTAGGTTTATTGAGAGATCAACTGAGTTAATATAGAAAGTACCTAGCATAGCACTTGGCCTACTATAAGCAGTCAAATTTAGCTGCTATTGCTGTTTTATTATCCAATGGGGATTGTTATCTTTACAATTTTCATTTAAGAGCTGATTTGTTCCCAAGAGAGCATATTAGGTCACCACATGTTGCACATGAAGTTTTGATTTCCTCTGGTTTCTCTTGGCCACATGTAGACCCATGGACTTAACTAGCCTGAAAAGGAATCTGTCGAAGGGACGGATTCGTACCGTGGCTCAATTCCAGCGGGACCTGATGCTAATGTTCCAGAATGCTTTGATGTACAACGACTCTGATCACCACATATACCAGATGGCTGTGGAGATGCAGCGAGAAGTCTTGGAGCAGATTCAGGTACCATACGGGAAGAGCTGCAAGAAAAAGGAGGCTAGCCTCTGGAATCATACTTCCGAAAGTCTATGAGCAGAAGGGTAATGTTGAAGTGACCTGTGTTCCCAGTGTTTATGTTCAGAGATGATTTAGGGCCTTGAAGGATTGGCATTGTACCTGCTGCTCTGGAAAACCCTGAAACTATTAGGACCAACTTTAATAGTGAAGTAAAGTAGGCTAGGAAGGCAGGCAACAGTGAAGTGCTCTTAAGAGGGCAGGGGATAGATAAGTAATGGGAGCTCCTGCTGCCAGAACCTCAAGTCAGAGGGCTAAACATAGGCTGGAGTCACAGTTCATATTTTGATTGCTACGCTTGTTGATATTAACCTATGTTCACACTGTCCTCATCTGAGGGAAGATACGGCAGCTAGAGAGAGACATGAGAGGGTTTCGTTTCTGTGCAGCATTTTACAATACAGAAAAAAAACATAAGTCAAATCTTCGTGAGGGAAAAAAAAGTTGTATTCAAACCTCTGAAGCTTTAAGATTCAAAGCTTGACTCATCTATCTGCCTTGACTCTACAGGGGCTGAATATTTGGTCAAACAAAGGAAGAGACTTAAATAGTCTAGACTGAGCACCAGTCAACCCGTGGATGATGGAAAACCTATTTTCTTAACCTAGAGCTGCTACCTTGACTTTTTCTGGAATTTGGGCCTCTCATTCAGACTCTGACCCAGAGAAGATCCCCGTACCTGTTTACCACTTCTCTGTTGTCTTTTCTTGTAAGAATAATGCCTTAACTCACAACCAAGGAGTCAAAGGTGCCTGTGAACATAATATAAAGAAAACAGGGGAAAGCTGTGATTTGGAGTTATTCCATAAATGTTGCCAATATTTTTGTTGCATAGGCTAAATTTAGCGGTAACTGGGTTATACCTCTTATTACTGCTCTATAAATAAAGGCTATTTCACAAGTCAAAGGTTGCTTTTTAATAATTGCAGAAGCTGGGAATATAGAAGGGACAGCAGCGTCTGGTGAAATGAGGAACGTATCTGACGGGTCTCCGTACAAACGCCCGGAGAATGTCGATGATTTCTCTCACCATCTATGAAGTGGAGATAATTGAAGCGTCCTTTAAACGGGTGGGAGGATGAAACAAGATAAATTTTGACGAAATGTTAGAAAACACCTAGTGCTCTTAAGATTCCCAAGGGGAATAAAAATGCCTGTGGTAGTTGCCTTTTTTGGCTGAACGAACCGGTCAGAGACGGTGAAGCGGTCCGCTGGGACTGGCCCTCCGCAGCCACCGTCTCCGGGCGGGGCTTCAGGTCTCCTAGCAACAGACGCGGCCGGAGGAGCAGGAGCTCCGGTAAGTGCCCGGACAAGGGCGGACTCGGAACCTTCCGGTGCAGCCCCTAGAGGCCCAAGTGACCCAGGGGTCCCACTTCCCAACCGCGTGTGACCCTACGCGAGGTCTAGGCCCTGCGGGGCGTCCGGCATTCCTGCGGCGGGGGCGGCGCGGGGGGTCACAGCCCGCCGCCTGCCGCGGCCCCGAGCCTGCGCCCGCCCGCCTTTGGGCTGCTCCGTGGCCTCGCCACCTCGACGACCGCTCGTAGGAAAGCACAGGGCACACCTTAGACGCAGATGAGAAACCGTATTATTCAGCTACTGCTTCTAGGAAAAGATCCAGCATGTTCTAACTTCCTAAATTAATAAAATCAAGCACCTGATAATGCCGTTCTTAATCACAATTAGGTTAAATTTGGGGTGGGGGGAATGCGTGTCATTGCAGTTGATACCTGTCAAGGATCTCTTAAATTGTACCCTGAAAAGCCGGAATGGAGATATCCATGCCCCCACCTCAGATCTATGTAGAAAAAACTCTGGCCATTATCAAACCAGATATTGTTGACAAAGAGGAGGAGATAAAAGATATTATTCTCAGATCGGGATTCACCATTGTTCAGGTAACTATGGACACAATGATCGTGTTTTTTCTCTCTTTGCTCCTTATTTTTATGTTCATGTAAATGTGTTAACCCATTAATTCCATAGTAAAGATTAATTTAGGTTAATTCTTCTAAGTGTAAAAATTATATACGTTTTTAAAAGTTTTTTTTCTCACACTTTGAAAGGATATAAAATGAGAAGTGAAATTCCTTTTTCCTCCAGTTGTCCTCTCCCCCCCTTAGTCCGAGTCTCCAGAGAGAGGCAACCACTTAACACTCTGTTCTTCCAGGACTTTTCTATGCTTTGCAAACATTTTCTCCCCATAAAATTAAAATAATCTCCCTCCCCCAACTCCTTTACAAAGTTCCTCAGGTAGCATTTGGGGAATGCTGAATCTGAATCTGTCAAATTCTTCCTAATTTCTGTGTAAGATGCCCCCGTGTGAATGAGCCACAGTTTATTTACCTGGTCCTCTACTGATGTGCTTTTATTAGACTGTCGGTATTTTTTTCAGCTATTGCAAACATTTAATGTTTTAAACCTTATTCTTGTTCTGCAGTTGTTAGAGATTTGAAATGAATGTAAAATGAGTATTGTCAAAGATCGTCAAACAGAACTGAGTATTTTTAATCTTTTTTGTACTATCCTTATTTGAAATTAGTGTTTTAAAATTCTCATGTCTATACACTGTCATATTGCCTTATTTAGTGTTTTTAAAAAGAAAAAAGAAAACTTCAGTCTTCAGGAAAGATAGAGGCTGAGGGTAGGGATGGTACAAGAGAGCATAAGAATATATTTAATATAACTAGAAGACTCAGGTAAAGGTGAGCTTTTAAATAAATGTTGTTTAAGAAAACCAGGCAGCCATTTAAAAAAAGTTGCATTCAAGTATAATGTTATATACACCAGGATAAACTCTAAATGGATCTGAGACTTAAATATTAAAAGTTAAACCATATAAATTCTAGAAGAAAAGCTGGATGAATTTCTTTTTTTTCTTGGAGTGTTGCTGCCTTTTATTACTATGACTTAAGTCCAGGAGCCATACAAGAAAAGACTGATAAGACTATAAACATACGAAGCTTCTACATGACCAAATAAGCATCATAGGCAAAGTCAAAACACAAATGACAAACGTGGAAAAAAGATTTGCAATTCATATCACAGAGGGCTAATCTCTTTAATGTATGAAAAGCTCCTAGAAAAAGAAAAATTCAGTTGAAAATGGGTATAACTGTGGATGGTCACAGAAAAAAAATGCTTCTTAAACATTTGTGAATGAAACAATTTCTTAGACATCAGTGAAAAGATGCTCAGTCTTTTTTAAATTTTTAAATTTTGCTATCATTAATATACAGTTACATGAGCAACATTGTGGTTACTAGATTCCTCCCATTATCAAGTCCCCCCCACATACCCCATTACAGTCACTGCCCATCAGTGTAAGATGCCATAGAGTCACTACTTGTCTTCTCTGTGCTGTACTGCCTTCCCCGTGTCCCCCCCCCCCACGTTATGCGTGCTAATCGTAATAAAAGATGCTCAGTCTTTAGGTGGGGAAAAAGCAAATTAAGATGGTACTGAAATACTATTTGGCAAAAATAAAAAGGTAAAAGGAAATTATCTATCAATATTACAGATACAGTTACCCTCTCACCCAACAGTCCTACTTTTGGGAATCCCTCCTACAACCCACATAGTATGTGAAGTAACTTATACAGGGTTTTTTTTGCAGCATTGTTAGCTTACCAGCAAAAGATCGCAAACACCCCAGCATTAGAAGATTGGTTAATAAACCCTGGTAAATCCACCAAATTGAATACCGTGCAACTAATTGTAAAGCAAAGAATGAGGGACCTCTCTGTCCTGTTATGGAAAAAAGCAAGATGCAGAACAATGTGTAGCAGCCTTTTGTGACAGAAAGTAATATATATTCATGTTTGCCAATATTTGCAAAATGAAACACTGAGATAAACATTTTTTTTTTGAGAGGGCATCTCTCATATTTATTGATCAAATGGTTGTTAACAACAATAAAATTCTGTATAGGGGGGTCAATGCTCAATGCACAATCATTAATCCATCTCAAGCCTAATTCTCGTCAGTCTCCAATCTTCTGAAGCATAACGAACAAGTTCTTACATGGTGAACGAATTCTTACATAGTGAATAAGTTCTTACATGGTGAACAGTACAAGGGCAGTCATCACAGAAACTTTCAGTTTTGATCACGCATTATGAACTATAAACAATCAGGTCAAATATGAATATTCGTTTGATTTTTGTACTTGATTTATATGTTGATCCCACATTTCTCCTATTATTATTATTTTTATTTTTAATAAAATGCTGAAGTGGTAGGTAGATGCAAGATAAAGGTAGAAAACATAGTTTAGTGCTGTAAGAGGGCAAATGTAGATGATCAGATGATCAGGTGTGTGCCTATGGACTAAGTATTAATCCAGGCTAGACAAGGGCAGCAAGACATCCACGGATGCAGAAGATTTCTCTCAAAGCAGGGGGGGGTGAGGTTCTGAGCCTTACCTCTGTTGATCCCTAATTTGAGATAAACATTTTTAATGGTTGCCTGTTGAGGGCAAGGAAGAACAGGGTGGATTAGGACAGGGATGGGAATGGGATTTTTTTCAGTCTATACCTTTTTATAGTGCTTTGAATTTCTTAACCCTGTAAGTGTATCATCCATATATTTTAGAAAAAAAAAGTATACAAATAAAGATAACCCATTTAAGTTTTTTTAAAGTCCATATTTTAAAAATAATTTTCAAAAAGCTTAATAATTAAGTAGCTAATGTTAATTATAAATTTAAAATAGTATAAACACTAATATTTAACACTTCCCTTAGCAATAAATTTCAGACCAAAGAAAGCCTTGGTATACTGTGTGCTTCTTTTTCATTTTAATTGTAAAATATGCATAAAATTTGCCATTTTAACCATTTTTAAGAGTACAGTTCAGTGACATTAAGTACATTTAACCATCACCACTATCCATCTCTAGAATTTTTTCATCATTTCAAACTGAAATACTGTTTAAACCTCCCTGTTTGCTCTTTTCCCCAGCCCCTGATAGCCTTTATTCTACTTCCCGTCTCTATGACTTTGACTAGTCGCAGTTATTGCAATACACTATTTATCCTTTGTATTGTATGTTTTTAAATTATTTAATGTAATTGGGAGTCCTTGAACTTGAGGCCTTCTTGTCCCATTTAAGGAAAACCTGAAAAATTATGTATTCTTTCAGTAGGTGGCAGTCTTTCCTTTGTTACGAAGTAATGGTTCCTTTTCCAATATTATTTAATAGCCCTGCTTCTCTTTGTGCAAATATTTATCTAAATTCCAGAAAAATTTACCTGATCTAATTTAATAACAACCAACGGAATCACTGATTTAGTATCAACTGTAGTTTAAGATTAGCCCTTTTTATGATCATGCTGCACCAGCTAATACACCTGCAACAGGCTGCTTCCCCCACTTACCAAGGGACATGTGGCACATAAAGGCTTACATTGCGACAGATGAAAGTTTTATTTTTTAGCCCAGCAATAAAAAAACTCCATACTGATATGTATAAGAATCACAAATACTGGCATGTCTTAATTTTAAATAATAGAATCAAGGATTATATTAAATCAGGTGCTGTTGTAAATTCTCAAAACTAATCTATTTCTTGACAATATGAATTTCAATATAAGAGTAGATATCAGCACTTGTTTTAGATCATTAAATTTAAAAACTCAGAAGGCTAAAACTAGGTGAAGTTGCTCGTCCTTGACTGATGGGAATGTTTGCCCAGTAGACCCTGTTCACAGCAGAGCTGACCCACCCAGGTTAAACATCTTCCCAAGCTTTTTGCTCTGGGCAGTTTAGATCTCTGGCTACAAACCAAGCAATTTTGCCAAGTTTATACAACCTGAGGACACATAGTTTGGGAAGGGGCTTTAAGAGGTAGGTCATTTGATAAAATTCACACCGTCCTCTCAGGAAAATCTAACCCATTTTCGACAGATGGATTTCTAT